GTCCGCAGTTTCAGAAAAGCTCCAGAATGCCTTCTCATTGACTCTGATGAGTTAGGTCTCTCCATCTCCCCCAAAATAATCACAGTGGCTAGGAGTTTGCATGACTGACTGTCCAGGCTGGGTCCCAAGACCACTTCTGCAACCAGAGTTGCTTTACCAGTGACTAAGAGAGAGGATGAGAGAACCAGGGGAAATCAGTACTGTTGGGTTGCTTAGGCAAGAAAAATTGGCTAGTGGGATCCGAGAGCCCGATACTTTTGGGGAGTTGCTGTGCCGACAGCTGTGATCCTCCAGAAAAGAAAAGGGCCTCCTCTTACTGGAGGAGGCGTGGCATTGTGTACAGCAGCCAGGCATGTATCCCCAGCGCACAGCCTCATTTACGGAGGGAAACGCTGTTGTCAAATCAGCTCTTGGGGTTAACACCCTCGGCCACACATTTAACCTAGGTAGGTACAGAAGCAGAAGGGTGCTAACCAGCCTGGTGGGCCCTAAAGAATCGCCTGAGGAGCCTTTTACCAAAGGTCTCTGCAGCCAGGTAACAATTTTTGTAACACCTCAATCTGATTATGTCATGTCCTGCTTATACAACCATCATGAGGGCTAGGGATATAGCTCAGTGGCATAAGCACTTGCCTGGCAAGCGTAAGGTCCTGGTTTGAGTGCCAGTACAAAAAAAAAAAAAAATCTGTCAGTTAAACTTTTAAGGAAGTCAGCCTAGTGGTGCATACCTGTAATCCCAGCAGCTCTGCAGGCTGACAGGAGGATCACAAGTTCAAGGCCACTCTTGGCATCTTAGTGAAACCCTGTTTCAAAACAACCCCAGAAAAGACAATATAACCCCAAAAGGTTCTTACCCTCCCCCGATTTCCATCCCTAGAGGCAGCTTACTCTAATCTGTTTAATATATTTTAGTTGATTATTGAGGTATTTACCTCTGTGATCCCAAGCAGTATGTTTTGTGTGGCTACATCTTGGTTTTTCTGTATGAGTTATTATCTGTTGGCATCCCACTAATGGAAGATCCGGCTTTTGTCTCTCTCCCTGTCTCTACCACATACCCGCTTCCTCATCCCCTGTCCTCCCAACAGTTATATTGCAGTCAGTGTCAGTGATGACCTGATTGCTGCTATGTCAGTGCTGTTCGCAGGTGAGTCACGTTAAGCTGTGACTCCTTTTCTGTTTTGTAGTAGAATGCACACTTCAGCCTTTCTGACAGAGAGTGTGTGGGACATCACATGAGATGGCCACTTGGGAAAAACCCAGTCACACAGACTCAGGTGATTCTCACCTTTGGTGTGAGATGATTGAAAGCCACTGGAAGAGGAGAAGTAGGAAGAATAGTAGAGGACAGGAGACAGAATCTCAGTGATAGACCAGAACATCTACAAAGGAAGAGTATAAGCAAAACAATCCCACCACACCCACCAGGGCTCCTGCTTACGCATAGGATGACATTCAGGTGGTTACTAGTGAGTGGCCTGCGTGCCGTCCGTGCTTCAGCCCACTGTGCTCCCACTGCCATTCTTGGCTCATGCTGGTCCCTGACCCTTGAATGCCCCACTCCTCTGTCTGGTGAAATCCCCCCACGTTCAAGACCTGGCATGGGTGACACGCCCGTGGATGGCCTTCCCCATCATGTGTCTGTCGCTGTGTGCGTGCTTGGGTCTCAGGACTTCGCACACTACCCTGTACTTACCATGTGTCCCATGAGTTTAACTCTTGGCTGTGCCATTTCCTAAGTCTGTGACTTTGGGCAAGTAACTGCACATCTCTGTGCCTCAGTTTCTCCCCCTGTAAAATAAGAACAGTGGTACCTACCGGATAAGGCAGTTGATGGGTTAAAGCTCTTCAGTAGCACCCACCCCGAGTGAGTTGTCTGGACATGCTGTGCATCCTTCATCCCCAGCAGAGTCAGAGGTGGCAGGCTAGGATCCCCAGTTCCCAGATAGCTCTTGGCCTATCAGGTGTCTCCAGAAGCTGGACAGGGAATCTGAATACATTTCCTGCTGCTACCGAGCATACAAGCCAAGGGCACCCACCAAGCCTTGTGGCCCACAGGCCACAGCTGAGGCCCAGTCTTCATTAGAGCAGAGATGCTTGGGGATACTGTAATTTTCTGTAGGCCAAATGCCAACTGATCTGGCCTAGGGGGTCTCGCTTTTAAAGTGACCTCAGGTAGTGCTGATGCCATCCACGGCTAGAGGTGACTGAGGAGCCGGCTATGTGTATCAGTGCATTTTTGCAAAGCAGATGCCTTCCCGGTGCAGCAGGTTATGTCCATCTTGTCACTGAGCCTTGCCTCAGAAAGACCCAGGTGGCTTCTAGTAGGATTGTAGGTTGCGTTATAGCAAGAGGAAAAATTGTGGAGGATTTTTTTTTTTCTTTTGAGATGCATCTTGCTATGTAGTTCCAACTGCCTTTGAACTCACTAGGTAGCCCATGGTGGCCTCTGATAGGCGATCTTCCTGCCTCAGAGTCCCAAGTGCTGGGATTCCAGGCATGCACCATCACAACTAGCAAAATTACACACATAAAATGAGTGTCTCACTGTGGTCCTGTGAGGTGTCTTACTTGTGTATTCTTCTTTAGTTTTCTGACAGCTTCTCTATCCAATGGGAAGTAATAATTTAGAAGGTAATAGGAACCGTTGGTGCAAAAGCCCCTACAAAAGACGCTAACTGGCTTTGAATCCATGTCTCTGATTAAAAACCTGAGTTTTGACCCCAAGCTGCCTCTCACTTACCAGAAGCCAAGGCTTGGGGAAGCTCCCTTCCCCGGGGCTGTCCTATGAGCAGAGTTGGTCTCTGTGTTCGAGACTGCACCTGGTGATTCCATGCCTTCTTGATAGACAGGTAGAGAGAAATCAGGATGGCAGAGAGAAATAGGACTGGGGACCTGGGGAGCAAAACCAGTGTCTTAAGTGGGATTGGGCTCAGAAACCACAAAGAGACAGACTCGCCAAGCTGGAATGTCGCAGCGTGAGATAAAAAGGAAATGAATTAGAACTGATCAGAGTTCACCCTCATGAGGCCCCTATAATATCACTTGGAGAAATATAATTATTTTTTAAAATATAATTTTAAAATGTAATTATATTTTAAAATTTATAATTTTAAAATATAATTTTTTTTTTTTTTTTCGAGACAGGGTCTCACTGTGTAGTTCAGGCTGGCCTTGAACTCATTCTGTAACCCAGGCTGGCCTCAAATTCATAGTGATCCTCCTGCCTCAGCCTCCTGAATGATGAGATTACAGGCACCATCCCCGCTATAGAAATATACTTTCTCAGGTAACTGTGAGGAAGGCTACTTCTCACTAATGGAACCCGTGCTGTACCGGAAGCACAGCTACTGAGTCTCGGGAAGCCCCTTGGCTCATGATCACACATTGTTCCCTATCTGAGGATCTGTTTCCCCTTTCTCAAACTTATGTCAGCACATGTACACACACACACCCCACCCGAGTATGGCTCTGTGATGTCAGGTGATGAAGGGGATAAGAGTTAGAGGGTTAGCTGGGTCTGTAAGCTCCCGACCTGATTCCCCAGGATCCTCCTAGACCTGGAACTAAACTACTTTTTTCCCACTTTCCCCCCTCATATCTTATGGTCTTGGTTTCTGGACTCTTACGATGCAAATAAACCTAATGCACACAGCTATAATCCCAGCACTCAGGAGGCTGAGGCAAGAGGATCCTTGCAAGTTCGAGACCAGCCTGAGCTGCAAAGTGAGCTCAAGGCCAACCTGAATTGCATAGTGAGACCCTGTCTCAAAAAGACAAAAAAGCCTAATGTGACTCACATCCCTGTCTTTCCAGACCACCGGAGAGGCTATCTCCTGGCTGGGTGCTAGGTTACCTTATCTCCTGTGGATCTTCACATTCCAGACTCTGGCTGCCCACCCCTTCCTGGCTGAGTGTCCTTGCTGCTTGCTTGGATCTCAGTACTTCTGTCCCTCCGAGGCTTCCACATGTGCCTCAGGCTTCTATGCCATCCTCCTCCTCCTCCTCAGGCTTCTGTGCCAATGATCCCCCTCCTCCTCCCTTCTCCCTCCCCGCTGTCCTTCTCCTTCTCCTCCTCCTCCTCCTCCTCCTCTGTGAGTCTCCCTGTAGTACCAGGTCTGTGGAGATCCTCAGCTGCAGCAGAGCAGGGTTCTGTCTGTATCATCCCCCTGGCATTGGGATTTCTACAGTGGGCTGCAAAACCTACCTTACCACCTGACGAACAGTGTCCTGAGGGCAGTAAAAAGCCCTGTGTACATTTGCACCCAGCGTCTAAGGCTGACTCGTAGGTCCTGTGGCCAACACTTTCCAGGGAGTGTGGGAAGCAGCACCATCATATGGACTGGGGCTGCCGGAGGCAATTGGATCATGGTTCTTTCCCTGAGGACCTGGTCAGAGCATGTAAATCTGCTCTGTGCTGTCCAATATAGTGTGGCTGGACACATTAATTTTTGAATTTCTTTTTGCTTTTGGTTTTAGAGGTAGGGTCTCACTAAGTTGCCTAGGCTGGCCTCATCTGCACAGTCCTCCTGTTTCAGCCTCCTAAGTGCTTGGAATACAGAAATGTGCCACCATGCCTGGTTTAACTTTTTAAATTTATTTATTTATTTATTTATTTTTGGTATTGGGGATCAAACTCACACCCTTGCACTTACCAGGCAAGCATTTGAGCCACTGAGCTAAATCCCTGGCTAACTTTTTAATGTTTAAATGTACTTGATTAAATTACAAACTCATATCCTCGGTTACACTAGGCAGTTTCAAGTGCTCAGTAGCTGCACATGGCTAACAGGGGCATCCCGGACAGGACGGATGCTTGGTCACTGTCACCATGGCAGAATGTTATTTGAGGATGCTAATCTGGGCAGTGCCTTAACACTGTTGTTGAGCGTTCCTGGAATGGGTGAAGTTCCTCCTGGTATATCTGGGTAGTTGAAGTGGGGATTTGCAAATTCCACCCTAAGGCTGACCTGAATTTCCTCCATCTCCCTCGGCTGCAGGATGCTCGCCAGAAGTTCCGTTCTGTTCTGGTTGAGGCCACAGTGAAACTGGATGAACTGGTGAAGAAAATTGGCAAAGCTGTAGAAGACTCAAAGCCTTACTGGGAGGCACGAAGGGTGGCAAGGCAGGTAAGGCACTGGCAGGTGACTCCCTTGCAGCCGGGCCTACTTACAGGGATGTGCAAGATGTGTTTCTCCTCTTCACCTATGAGGCCGTAGGAGGAACAGACCCTCACAATACTGGCTCTTTGTCTCAAAGATTCAAATAAGGGGCCAAGGAACTGAGACCAAGACGGGCAGCCAGGGGAGCGTTCTAGTCTGCCAGTTGCTGGGGTTGCGTGGAAATCGGTTTTGGTTTCAGTTGTTTCCTTTGACTGCCGTTGCTGTGATGTGATGCACTGTGCTGTTTATCACCTCCCAGCAGCCTCTGGGAACCAGAGCCCAGTGTGGGGAAGAAGGGAACCTACACATTACCAGTGTCTCCAGTACAAGGCCCTGGGCTGGGGGCTTTTCACACTTGGCCCCCTTGGGCTTCCAGCCTGCTGTCTCCCCAGCGTAGTCACCACCCTTGGGGTGTCTTGAGATAAGAGTGCAGATTTCTCTGAAGGTCTAAGCAAACAGTCCAAATTATAGTTCTGTAGTAAAAGACCAGGTGCCATCCTTGTGACACAGTTACGATGTAATGGAAGATACTGCCTCCAAAGTCTCCACCTCCAAGCAAACGCTTAGTGAGTAACAACAAAAATGCTTAGTGAGTAACCTGAGCAACTATTGTGAAGATTACAATGTGGAATATAACCCATTATTAAATTCCTGTTGTCTTGTTTTGAAAACCCATATAGTTATTGTTGTTGCTGCTGTCGTTTTGCTTTAGTAGTTGTTTTTTTTCTTTTGCTGTTTAATTTTTCTGTCTTTTCTTTTTTCTCTTTAAAATATTTTTTCTGAAAATTATTGGATGTGTGTACCATGTGTATTTTGGGCACCAGGGGGAGATTCCTCCATGAGATTCATGGACCTATAGTCAGACTCATAGAGGACGAGGGGCCAAGCTTCCTCTCCTTTTCCACATCTCCATGCACCTCTCAGATTCTTCATCAAGGGATCCCTCCTGCTCTGACAGTCCTGCTGAGTCCTGTCTTTGCCTTTGGGTTTTACACTCTGAACCCTGTGCTGAGGTTTCAGGGTGGACTTGGTCATGTGTGTTGCCTTTACCTTTATCCGCAGGCAGAATGACTGCCTGGTTTCCTCTTCCTTTCATGGTCTGCTGACTCAGGATGAATAACACAAAGGCCTGATTCCTTGTGGGTCTGCAATGAGCCCAGATCATCGTTCCATCTTTGCTCTAGGTCCCACTCAAGTCTCACCTGTTCCTGGGAGAGGAAACTCTTTCTACATAGTACTTTTTAGTCCCCACAAATTGCAAAAACCTGGGTACTATCCCTGCAAACTGTCCATAATCTAGCAATTTTACAGGCCTGAGGTTATAGTATCCTTGACCTAAAACTGAACAAAGGGTAAAGGTTAATCTTGAAAGATTTCTCATAATTCCATTTAAACATTACATAAATACAAAGAAATTATAAAATCCCCTTTCTGAAAGTCTTAAGCATTGGCATTTATTGTCCTCTAATTCTACTCAGTCCCATAACTATCTACAAATTGAACATTGCTAATCTAAAAATCTGAAATCCAAAATGCTCTGAAATTTGAAAAATTCTTTCTTAGTTACTCTTCTCATTGCTGGGACAAAGTTTAACCCAAAGTTAAAGGAGGAAAAGTTTATTTAGCTCACAGTTTGTGGAGGTTTCAGTCCAAGGCAGGGTGGCATGGCAGACAGGCACCACAGAGGACAAAGCACTTCATGACTTCGTGGCAGGCAGGAAGTAGTAAAGCCACAAGGGACACCACAGCTGTGTCCCTTACATCTCATCCAGGCTACGGAGGGCAGGCGGCACTCACACCCTTATTCCTAGTGCCCTTGATCCTAGCGTCACACACTCTAGATCCAGCCACTTCTGAAAAGCCCCATCTCCGACTGCATGAGGCTTTGGGGGAACATCTAGACACAAGCCATTACACTTTCTGAGTGCCAGTATACCAAAAATTGAGAATTTCACACCATGAAACTTAGTGTTATACACAAAATTAATAAAAATGTATGAAATTACTGTCAGACTATCATATAAAGTACGTGTGAAACATAAATGTCCTGTTTAGGGTTGGATCCTGTCCCCAACATATCTCATTATGTACATCAAAATATTTTCCCTCAACTAAAATCTGAGATGCTTCTAGTCTTGAGCATTTTGGATAAGGGATTCTAAAAACAGCCGCCATGCTATTTCAGAGGAGAAGAATCTGTGGAAAGTCTATGAAAGTATCTCACTGGGGTTGTGGCTGTGGCTTCCCCACTCCGTTTTTTTTCAGGTTTGGGGGAAATGACTTGGCCTTTTGTGTCTAGTGCTGCTTAAGGTTCACCCTTTGATTTGGGCAGTTGGCCCCAACTGATGGACAGATGCTTTGGTTGTGCTAATGTCAGACCTGCTCCCACTTCGAGATCATGGAACTGTTTCTCTGATTGGCATTGTCCCCATGCTATTTTGCCACCTACTGCTCTGACTCTGAAGTTTCTGCTCAGATGTCATTTTGTCAATGGAGATTTCTCATCATCAACATGAAGTCTTCTCTGTCTATTGACAGTGGAAGCTCCTGACTCCCCATCATGGTCACCCCAGGCCTTGTTCCTTGACTTGCTTTTTCTCTGTAGCATACTTCATTATCTGACTTGTTACAGTTTTCTTGCTTATGATAAGTGAAACTCCACGAGGATGGAGGATCCCATTTGGTCTGTCACTATGTTCACACTGCCAGCACACGGAAAGCTTCTAAATATTGAGCAAGTGAATGAATGAACAAACAGTGAATAAAGGCCTGAGTGACCAGAGCTCCACCTTTGCCTCTTGATGCCATGCTTCTCCTTCCTATGGAGCTTTGTTCCCAGCTTCTGGTGTTTTTTTTTTTTTTTTTTTTTTTTTTTGTCTTTTTCCTTTTTATCGGTACCGGGGATCGAACTCACGACTGCCTGCTTGCAAGGCAGGCGCTTATGCCGCTGAGCTAAATCCCCAGCCCCTGTTCCCAGCTTCTTAACTGCTGGGAAACTCAGCTTCATCTGGGCTAGCTCCCTTGGTGAGTGTGTCTCCAGCTGCCACAATACAGCCTGGAGTAGATTTCATACCACCCGCTTCTTGTCTGTACCTCAAATTATCTTTGGGAAGAGTGATGGGAGGAACTGGGTTTGGGAGGCTGTCAGTCTGCTGGGAAGCAGAGGAGAACAGCATCTCTCCTTCTGCTCATGCCTGCTGCCCAGAAGAACAGGAATCGAGACAACCACTGAGTCCCTTAAGGAAACCTCTCGGTCATCAGGTCTAACTGGACACTGCCCAGGTCCTGCTGGTGACTGACTCACCTCAGGATGTGGAGGCAATCGTGCCCCCTGTGCTTGCTAACCCTCCCCATGACTTCCTCCCCGCTTGCAGATGGGGAAGGAGGGTGGAGAATAGCTACAATCACCCCTTGTCCTCAACCCCAAGGGACTTTGTTGGCCTCTGCCTGAGGAACTGGAAGGATGTTCAGAGGCTGAGGCTGACACAGATGTCAGGCTTCATCTCTGTGGATGGCTGGTCACCTGGACTTGGACAGGATGCTGTGACTGTTCCTCTGACCTTGCTGGTGGAGAAATGGGTAGTGTCTGCCTCCAGCTGTGCCAAGCAGGGCTTCCTGTTTTCTGGTCCTGGACTTCTCCCCACCCCCTTCCTTTCTGATGCTTACAAACCCATCTGAGTATCGACTGCAAGGGTGACTGTCTCAGAGATTCCTGCAGAGCAGTTCCTCCCAGCATGTGTCACGAGCCACCGCGTACTGGTGAAACACTCATCGTCAAGGGACCAGCAAGGCTGTTAGGACTGATGCAGTCATGTGTCTGACAATGGACTCCTTATATGAACTTGGGCTTCAGCTTTGTTTAAAAGAAAAAATTAGGGTTTACTGAGGACATTTTAGAAAAAAAAAAATAAGTTATATGTGCTGGTACACCTCCTACTCTGTCTTTTACATCAGTGACTGCATTGTCGTAGTGGTTTCATATGTCTGGAATGCCCGTGTCACCCATTCATCCAACCCGTGTGTCTACCTAACATCAGGGGGAACTTAGAGGAAAACCTTTCTTCTTTTATTCAGAGAAAGGCTCTTTCCGAGGTGTCCAAGCTTTCAAAAACTTAATCCTTTTGCCTGAGCCTCTCAAGTTACTAGAGCTATAGGCATACAAACAACATCACAGCCAGCTCATTGATTGATTTCTGGATGTTGAACAACCTTGGATAGCTGAAATAAATATCGATCATAATGTGTCATTCTTTTTATACATTTAAGTTTGATTTGCTATTACTTCTGCTCACACTTTTTTTGTCTTTGAGATGAGGTCTTGCTATGTTGCCCACCCAGGCTGATCTCAAACTCTTGGGCTCCAATGGTCCTTCCACCTCAGCCTCTGGAATAGCTAGGACTATGGATATGTACCACTAAGGTTAGCACATTTTTTTAACTAATAGTTTGATTGGATCCCTTCATAGTATGCTAGCTGTTCAGTTTAAACTTTAAAACATAGCATATATATTAGATGATAGGACTGAAGCCTGAATTTTTCTTCTACAGGCTGGATTGGCTAAAGCTAGCAAGATGGTATTTAGTAAGTATATGTAAAGAAAGTTTTTGAGACAAGGTCTTGTTACATGGCTCAGGATGGCCTCAATTCTGTGTAGCCCAGGCTGACCTTTCTTCCTCAATTTTCTGTTAAGAGTTTATAAAGTTCTTGGGTCAGGAGAAATTGTTACGTGTTTATATTGACTTTGTTGTCCATGACATCAACTCATTTTTGTACCGATGAGTCACAGCTAATCCTATGATCCTGAAAACTGAATGCAGATTCTGCCGAGAGGAGGTGGCATAGCATTTCTTCTGTGCTGGTCCGGGGGCAGGGAACTGGCTTGGGTTTGCTTGATCTTTTTGTCCTTGAGCCCAGCTTGGTTTCAAGGCTGCTTTGCCATCTCTGCCCGCCCATCTGGCCATCAGTGAGTGGTAGGTTGTAGCCAGCAAGCGGTGGTGGGGGGAATCAGGAATGCTGGACATAAGTGTTTCTCATCTCTATTGCTCTCTGGAGTCCTTGCTGGTCTAGCAGTGGCCTTGACATCTTACTGTCAGTCTAAAGTGTCATTTATTTAACCTTTTTAAAGAAAAATTGTGATAAAACATAGCATTACCATTTTAGCTGTTTGAGTACGGTTCAGTTGAATGAAGTGTGCCACCCAGCTGTGCAACCCAGACCATTGTGCAGCTCCAGAACTTCTCATTGCAAACTGAAATTCAGTATCCATTAACAGAAGCGCCCATGTCTCCCTTCCCCCAGCCCCTGGCATCCTACCTTTTCTTTCTACAAATTTAATCTCATGCAAACCATTTAGGAATCACACAGTATTTGTCTTCCTGCAGTTGGATCGTTCTGGCATGCATCTTGCTTCCCTTTGAAGGCAGGATGCTTTCTATGCACCCCAGTTTGTCCGCTCACGCATCCACCCATTTATTCATAGGTGTTGGGCAATTTTATTATTTTTTAAACAGTTGGAAGGTATCAGAAAAGAGGAGAGCACTTTTGGCACTTGAGCATCATAAGCACCAAGTGGTGAGGGTCCGTTGGTGCTCAGAGTTGCCTGTTGGGCATCTGTGAGGCCACGTAGGGCCAAGCTCTGCATCTGACATCCTCTAGGAAAGTGGGTAAGTGGGCGGACATTTAAAATCTGTAGAGCAGCTTACCTCTAGAACAGCAGGCAAAGCTTGGCCTCCAGAGTTAGACTGCCCAGCTTCAGATCCCACATCACACTCAATAGATGTGGGACCTTGATGTCCATACCTCAGCTTCTTCATAAAATGGAATCATGTATCAACTTTGGCTACAGACCAGACCACCCCAAAATTTAGCAGCTTAAAACATTTATTTAAGTCGTGCTTCTATGCCGGGTAGAGTTTCAGCTGTGTCACACATGTCCCGTGTGCTGGTGGGTTGACTGGGGCCGGCTGGCCAGGGCTGGCCTTGTCTGTCAAGCAGCTGGTTGGTTCTCAGCAAGGCCAGCAGGAGTGACTGGGCCACATGGTCTCATCCAGCAGGCTGGCCTGGTCCTTTTCACGTGAAATCAGGGTTCCAGGAACCAAAGAGGCACACACCCTTCTCAAGTCTCTACTTGTTTCCCGTTTGTTAATATCCTTATAGCTGGAAGAAGCCACACTGCCAGTCCCAATTCAGAAGGTGAACAAAGAATACTCTCCACTTGCCAAATATTAATTTAATAAGCCATTTTTAATTTATCATAGCCATTAAATTAGTATATATAAATATAGATCAAAGAAGTATGTTATTCCAGTTTTATTTTTCTATTAATTTTCTGTTTATAGTAGGTCTGTTGACTATAACACAAATGAAAACTCCCTCCACCATAACAAAAAAATGTACACATAGATTAGGAGTGTGGGATTTAGCTCAGTGGTAGAGTGCTTGCCTAGTATGTACAAGACCCTGGGTTCAATCCCCAGTGTCACAATAAAATAAATAAAAAAAATTTAGAATAAGAACCAGACCTTCACTGGCTATAGCCCTAGAGACGGTGGGTAGAAGAATGATCCCAGGCATCTGGGAGCATACTCGGATGCTTGTGAGAGAGAAGTGTGTCTAGGACCACGAATGAGGAGGGAGGAGCTGACTTACCTTTTGCCCGATCCAAAACACCCTAAGCCTGAAGGGATACTGTGGCAGGTGGGAGTGACAGGGTTTAGATGGATGGAGAGTCTGTTTCCAGTGAAACAAGACTGGTTAAGGGTGTCACAAACCCTCTCAAGCTTTCTGTCAGTCCCAAAGGAATGGAGTACCATGGTCTTCTGGGAAACTAGACATTTTATCTTGTAAAAGATCCTCCTAGAGTAGAGGATGAAAGGCTGAGGTTTTACCAAGGTGGGATATATAGACTTAAAGGTATGTCAGATGTGGATTTTCACTTTCTTGTCCAGGGACTTTTTTTTCTTTCTAATTTGTTATTTTCTTTTCACTGTTTACTGGATACCTAGTAATGAGCAGGTGCTGTGTTACCCACTTTTGTGCAAAGCCAACAACAGAACAAAGATCTTCTCCTTACAGAGCTAACATTCCCATCTTGGAAAGCTCATAAAAGTTTGTGGGGGCTGGAGGTTTAGCTCAGCGGCATAAGCGCCTGCCTTGAAAGCAGGCAGTCGTGAGTTCGATCCCCGGTACCGATAAAAAGGAAAAAGACAAAAAAAAAAAAAAAAAAAAAGAAAAAAAGTTTGTGGGATGGGATGCTTTGATCAAAAATAAGATCTTTGAAGGATGGGGATTTAGCTCAGTGGCACAAGCACCTGCCTGGTAAGTGCAAGGTCATGAGTTCAATCCCTGGTACCAAGATCTTTATTACTGATCTAAAGTGTATGTGTGTGTGTAAGAGAGTGTGCGTGAACATACACACACGCATGTGCACATTCACCATCTGAGATGGAGTGAGACTGGGCAGGATGGCGTTGGGCAAGGGCACTTCCTGTGCATCTCCCCTCATTTAAGCTTACCTTTCTGGGTCTCAGGCTGTGGTCTGCATCCCCTAGAATCCCCATCCCCACATTGTCGATGTCGCTCCTGGCCGGCAGGAAGGACACACGACAAAGTCTGGCAGTGGACAACCTTTTCTTTTATTTTCCTTCTCCGTACAGCCTGCCCTGGGATCGCTCCCAGCCGAAGCCTCCTTTGGTCCGCTCCCCGCGGCTCCTTTTGGGCTTCTACTTCCGGGCTTCTTCTTCCCCCCCAGGGGTGGCACCAGTATATATACGGATACAGTGTCCAATCATGTTAAAGTGAGCAAGGCAAGCTGATTGGCTAACATCATCAGTTGCCAGGCAGACTATATTGTTGAGCGGGTTGCTTACGCGGTAAGCAGGAAACTAACGTGCTCGATGGGAGGGGTAATCTACCTCAGGCTTTACTCTTTACTACAGGCCTCACGTCCGCCAAGTGAGGCGACCGGGCTCGGGGCTGCGGCTCCCAACATCTCCCCCTTTTTTATTTTTTATGAATGTGCGCATCGTAGCCCTTTTTGGACTGGGTGCAGAGGCTTATGCCCTATGCGTAGGCCCACCGTAGGTCCTTGGCTTAGACCCTGGTCGGCCGTCCCATGGTCTGCCAAGGCCCTGAGGCCCTCGTCCTTTTTCTAGGGCCAGGCACAAACTGGACGGAACCTGGATGCACACAAGCTTGCACTCATTTCCTCTCTGTAAAGAAATCCCCTCGGAGAGAAATTTAGACCTGGGCAGCATCTAACAGTCCAGCGGCTTACGTGCAGGATGGGGTAGGGCCTGGCTTAGGTTGAGTCGCACCGGGGGAGTACGCTCTTACCCGTCATTGACTCTCCTACCCAGCTATGTCATAATTTTTTAGAGGAGGAGTGTGGGAAGCTCACCACCCCTAGACTCGGTCGTAGGCTAGGCGAGCGAGCCATGTATATGCCTGAGGATCTTCTTGTCCATTTCGGGCTACCGCTATTTCTATTCATCTTGTTGGTTGGTCTGTGATGGATCTCCGGTAGGGCAGGTCTGATCTTTAGTCGAGGGCTTTGTCGCCCGTGTCAGTCTCTCCGGTACCCACAGTGGTTCTCGTCCCGATTCCTGTGGGAAAACACAAACCGCACCTCGGTTCCAGCTGACCACTGGATCCGGGCCCATCCATTGTCCTGTCAGGACATCTTTCCACTTTACCCACCCTTTATGGTTGGGGGAAGGGTTGCAGTGCTCCACGGCTGGGGAGCAATTATCATTATTTAAATTTAAAAAATTGTGTGTGAATAGTGCCATGGATAATCGTGCCTTTGGGGCCAGGCCTTGGCCTACTCCCCCTTTTTGTTTTTGTAAAATTTTTTTGAGGCTTTTATGAGCCCTCTCAATGATTCTTTGACCTTGGGGATTGTATGGGATACCATGTTTTAATTGAACCTCCATCATTTTGCAGAACTCATTGAAGGCTTTGCCTATATAGGCTGGTCCATTATCAGTTTTTAATATTTTTGGTTTGCCCCATGTGGCCCAAGCCGCCAGGCAATGATTGATCACATTAGACACTTTTTTACCTGTTTCTGCTGTTGCAAATATGACGTGAGAACAGGTGTCTGTGGAAACATGAACATATTTAAGAGTCTCAAACTCCTGTATGTGTGTGATGTCCATCTGCCAAACATCACCAGGGATCAAACCTCGAGGGTTTACTCCCATCGGTATGGCAGGTTTGTATGTGGCACAGGAGTCACATAGTCGCACGATATCTCGTGCATCTGCTCTGGAAACATGGAAATGGTTTGCTAGTGTCCTGGCATTGACATGAAACTTATCATGGAAGGCACGGGCTCGCTCGATTGGTGTTAGTAAGGTAAAAATCCATAACGGGCGAGTGGCAGTATCAGCAGCCGCATTCCCCTGTGTCATGGGCCCCGGCAGGGATGTATGTGTTCTTATGTGGGTGGTGAAGACCTTATGGTGTCTGTTTTGAAGCAATGTCTGGATAGACAGGAACAGCCCAGCCACTGTGGAAGTGGATCTAATTAAACCGGCAGTCTCAAGCACTTGCATAGCATTGACCACATACCTAGAATCGGAGACAATGTTAATGGCTCCTGAGAACCGTTCAAGAATCATTTTAACGATCTGCAGTTCTACCACCTGAGGCTGATCAGGTTCAAATTGTATGGTAACCGGGGGCTTGCCTAGGATCACATAGGCGCCTATCCCCGTCTTGGAGCCATCTGTGTATATTGTAGTTGCTGGGACTAATGGCTCAGAGGCTGTAACCTTTGGAAAAATTATAGGGTGCTGAGTGACAAATGACAAGATAGGGTCTTTAGGGTATTGATTGTTTATATCTCCATGGAAAACACATCTCAGAATGGCCCATGTATCTATGCAGGCAGCCAGGGTCTTGATCTGGCTGGCGGTATAGGGTACTCGGATGGCTTGTGGTCCTGAGCCAAAATGTTGGACAGCTCTATCATGCGCTTCAAGGGCCAATGAAGCGACTGCCTCTGGGTAATGCTCTATGACTTTTGCAGGTGAGACCTTAGGGTGTATCCACAGTAATGGTCCTTTCTGCCAAATCACCGCTGTGGGCTGTAGACTAGTCTGTAGCAAACAGACATCAAAGGGTCGCCCTGGTTCAATTTTGTGTAAGGTAGCCCCACCTAAGGCTTTTTCCACTCTCTGTAAGGCAGCTCTTGCCTCAGGAGTGAGCCTCCTGTGGGAGGCTATATCTGGGTCTCCCTTCAGAAGGTCGAACAGGGGTTTGAGATCTGAATTTGGTATATGTAAATATGGCCTAATCCAATTAATGTCTCCTAATAGCTTTTGCATGTCATTTAGGGTCCTAACGCCATCCGTCCTAATGGTGACCTTCTGTATAAGTCTGGAGGCGACACTGAGGTCCACACCTGCTGACCCAGGGGTGGCCCTTGTTGAAGGCTGCCATCCTGAGCTGTCCTGTCTCTGGGGCAGGGGCCCGCCTGTGAAGGGGGCCCCCTCTGGCCGTTTTTTGGCCCTCTAACATCTCGTCCACAAATACGGTTGCCCTGAGCATCAAAGACCGACCTACACTCCTCAGCTTTGTGTGATCCCCTCTTGCATCGCCCACAAACATATGGTTCTTTATTCCTAGGGCGAGGCCTAGCATCTGTATTGTTTGGGCAATGACGTTTAATGTGTCCTGGCTCCCCGCAGGCAAAACACCCTTTAGCCTTACATTCCCCTTCTAACCCGCGAGGTCCCCTCTGCTGTACAGCCGCGGCCAGGAGAGCAGCCACTCCCGAGTTGGAGAGCGGCCCCCCTATCTCTCTGTATATCCTAATCCAGGCGTTGAGGTCCTTGTTCTTATGAGGAGCTATCGCTGTCTTGCACTCCTTTGTACATTGCTCAAAAATCAGCTGCCTTACCAGCGGTCGAGCCACTCCCGGATCAGAAAATATCTTATCGGCAGCATCTTGCATTCGGGCCACAAAGTCAACAAATGGCTCTGTGGTACCCTGAATTACTGGGAAAGAACCCTGCGACTCCTTATCGAGCGACTTAGGCTCCTGACAGCTGGTCTCTTTGGCCTCTTTGCCATTCAACTTTCCCTCGTCCTCGGAGTCAGACGACTCCGAGGCTAGAGCCCCGTCCTTCTCCTTAGCATCTTTGTTCCCCTTGACGGGCCCCTCTCGGGAGCTCCCTGACTGGGCCTGCTCAAATACCCTGCGTACTTTTGTAAGCTCTTGAGAGCTTTCTCCACAACCACCCTCGCTCTTAGTGTTGCTACCTAGCATGTTTCCCATCTTTTAATATGTTACTCACCGCGTGAGGCCCAAGGAATCCGCCACTTACGCGTGAGCCTGAGGGGAGTCTAAAAGCCCTGTAGGTGCGCGCCACCCAGAGCCCAGGCTTATCCCCAACTCACCTGTCTCGCAGCTCTGTACTGGAGCGTTGTCCGCTGTCACGTCTCGGGGGTGATCAGTCCCCGTACGGGCCACCAAATGTCGATGTCGCTCCTGGCCGGCAGGAAGGACACACGACAAAGTCTGGCAGTGGACAACCTTTTCTTTTATTTTCCTTCTCCGTACAGCCTGCCCTGGGATCGCTCCCAGCCGAAGCCTCCTTTGGTCCGCTCCCCGCGGCTCCTTTTGGGCTTCTACTTCCGGGCTTCTTCTTCCCCCCCAGGGGTGGCACCAGTATATATACGGATACAGTGTCCAATCATGTTAAAGTGAGCAAGGCAAGCTGATTGGCTAACATCATCAGTTGCCAGGCAGACTATATTGTTGAGCGGGTTGCTTACGCGGTAAGCAGGAAACTAACGTGCTCGATGGGAGGGGTAATCTACCTCAGGCTTTACTCTTTACTACAGGCCTCACGTCCGCCAAGTGAGGCGACCGGGCTCGGGGCTGCGGCTCCCAACACCACATGACGAGATGGCAGTGTGACAGAGCTACACTAGCTGGTGCTCTTGATTCCTGATAGTTGCACTGCTCTGAGTGCTGAGGCCCTGCTCCAGGGAGAGAGAGGTATAGGATCCTGAGATGTTCTCCTCTGAACATTATTGTCAACATACACATAACTTGGTGTTTCTGTTTAAAGACGCCTTATTTAATATATATGTATAGCGTATGAACCCAGTACTATTTCCATACTTAATGTCTCAGTGCTTAATATTTCTGTATTATAAAGCACTAGCCAAGGACTGACATTTTCCTGACCCTGAGATTCTCCGGCTTTCAGCCGCACAACCCTGCTGTCTGGTGGCTAATCTGTCATGATCTCTCAGACATGAGGCCCAGTGGAGCTCACAGATTTAGTCCCTTTTCCTCCTTTTCTGGTAGCTTTGTTCTCACCGCAGATGTTCCTTTAACCCTTAGCAGAACAGGCCCATGTTGGTATTGACCAACATCCGCTTCCTTTTCTGGACATTCTGTGTTACCTCATTAGCACTGAACTCATGGCCAGGAGCGCTGTACCTCATGCCTGGATGAAGCTCAGCTCACACACACACACACACACACACACACACACACACACACGTGTTCTCCACAAGGCGCAGCCTCCATGTGCTCGGCAACACTAGAAATCACTTCAGCACTATACCCAGGGCCAGTTTAAACAGCAAAAGCAACAGAAAGCACAAAAATATGACAGCCCGACACTGAGAAGGCTGTGGAAAGGAGCCTTGTTTGCAGGATCAGGGGAGAAACAGAGCCAAGTATCCAGGAACCTGGGTGTTAGGTAACAAGTTTCTCTGCCACCTTATAGGTCTGAGAAAGAGCCTGAAAGCACAAAAGCCCTGAGAGTTTTGTATTCACAAAAGAGAAACCCATCAGTACTGAGGGACAGAGCATTTGCCAAGCAGAAGGGCTGGCCCACATGGCATCAATGAGAGCCGAGCTCTGAAAAGGTGCCGTCCTCCAGGAAAGGGAGGAAGGCATGCTGTTGGCTGGAGGGAGGCTGGTATGAAGAACAGAAGATGGGAGATGGAGGAAGCAGGCAGTGGGGATGTGGACTTGGGTTGGCCCAAGAGCCTCCGGCAGGCATAGGGAGAGCAGGGGTAGTGGGCAGGTGAGAGGGCCGTACAGTGACAACTTGCCCTTCACACTTGGTGGAGAAGTGCAGAGCGGTTGCAGGTATCTGGGGTGAAGTGGCTTGGAGAGGTTGGTTAGTGTTGGTGCCAGATGTTGTGTCCCTGAATTCATGGTGGCACTGGTCTTTTATTCTTACAGTGTGCTAGGTACCATGCTGCTCTTCTGTGGAGGGGGTATAATTCATCTGCCCACTCTTCTCCCCATTGTATAGAGAAAACTAGTCTTGGAGCTAAGAGACTACTTTCTAGGCCTTTCCATGGACTTTTCTAGCTTCAGGGCCTCATCTGAAATGGGGAGACTCCAAAAGATAAGCCAAGGTGATGTTAGGGTCTGACTGGCCAGCAGAAGGGTGCCAGAGAGAGCAGTCAGGCTCCTGAGAGATCTGGGGTTCACTCTTCAGGGTGTTGACGTGGAAGCACGTTAACGTGGAAGCACGTGTGTCTGGTTCCCAGGAACACATCAGCTCGTTGGTGGGGAAGTGGGGAGGCAGTGACAGGGAGGCGATAGTTTGCTGGAAGTGTGCGTTTGAAAAATTGAGAGATTAAGGATTCAGGGAGGGGAAGAAGACAGTGATGGGATACTCTGTCCCCAGGCAGTTTGCCAAGTACTCTATGTATGTGACAGGTTACTTCTTTTTCTTTTCTGAAGGAGAAACTGAAGCCTGATAAGGCTGAATTATCCATGGGGCTTCTCACAGAGCTGAATTATAGGTCTAGGTCTGGGTCTGGGTCATTTGTACCAACATGACAAGTGGTGTTGTCTTTGTAACCCTGAGGCAGATCATAACAGTCTGGAGACGTAAGTAACATACCCGGTCCACAGACCCTGTGAGGGAAGCAGCCAAGATGGAACCCAGAGCTGCCTGGCCCTGGTTGCTGCCCGGCTCTTGGACCGTGGGCACCATGGCATGTGAGGGTCAGGCAGAGTGTGCTTGGCTGGCAGGCTAACTGTAGGCCTTGAGCTCACTTGGGCAGTCTTTTCAAGGGCCTTTTCTGGGTCAGGGACCTGCGAAGCTCTTGCCAGAGGGGTCTGCAGCCCTGCACTCCTTCCCCTCCTGGTACTCTGTCCTGCCCTCCTAGTGACTTTGTCAGGCCTCTCTTCCTGGTCACTTCCGTTTCTGTCTGGTCACCCTTCCCTGAGACTGTTCTCATCATGAGACTTGGGTGAGGAGGTCTGGCTCAGTGACGTCCATCCCTGTGGCCCTGGTCACATCCTTCAGGGTGGCCACAGGCCAGTTCCTGGGAAGTGCGTCACTCCTTCTGCCCAGAGTAAGGGCAGGGGGTGGAGCGATGGGCACCTGTGTCAACGCGGGGTAATTTATGGCCAGAAAGGAGCACGCACTGATGGTTAACTCTCCCTTGCCTGAGAGACTTGGTTGGAGATGCTGGGAAAGTTTGGGAGCCTCAGTTCTTGAATTAGGTGGAATCTAGAGTCAGACGAGTGGCTGAAGGTCCCTGCCACAGAGCTGGCTTGGGCCTGCATTCAGAAGCTGCCTCCCCTTGGAGTGGGCTGTGCCCCTGCTTGGCAGCCCTGCCCCAAGTCCTGTGCTGGGGCTGGAGCAGCTACAGGGCTGCTGATCTTGAAGTTTTTCCCTTCCAGTGGTAGCATGGGCCGCTTGGATTTGAGCTTTCCCTACCTAGCAGGTGACAGGTGGACGGACTGGCCTGGGAGGGTCTCAGGCAGTAACCCACCCATCCCTTTGTCAGTTGGAGCTTTGCAGGGGACAGGTCAAGTTTCATCACTGGCTCTTCACTGAGATGGGCTCGTTCCTAGCAAGAGCCACCGGGTAGGCAGTGTGATTTCTGATGCTCACAGAAGGTTTGTCACCACTGAGTAGTGGTTAAAGGAAATTAGGAAGTGGAGTTTATGCTGTCTGCATCCATGAAGCTCTTTGCACGTTTCCGTTAATCGCTATTTTTAATAAAATTACAACATTGACATAGATAAGTCCCTCCTTCCCTGTCTTCGAACCATCAGAGGTCCTGGAAAGAGTGGGGGGCGGTCACTTCTTCCGAGGAAGATAGGCAGGCTGTAGACATTTTCCGCTCCCTGTTTTGTCAGTGCAGGTGGGCCTTGCTGTGCTGTTAGGTGTCCAGGTTTGGGCCCTGGCCTCATGTGACGTTCCCCTTGAGCGCTCTGGTATACCTCTCTGTTCTCGTTCCTGATTCGGGGACACCCCTGCTTTCTCTTTCACTTCTCTTCCCCTCCCCCAGTTGTCACTTCAGTGTTGTCGCCTGGCCCTGCTGTGAAAATGGACCCTAAAGAGACCAAAGAGCTCATTCTCACGATGGGGAGAGTTCTGATGAGGGGTCCCCGGCTGCCTCCAGCCCTACAGGACTGCTGCCTCCCAGTCCAGCACCTGGCACAGGCCAGAGTTGCTTTAACAGGTGTGGGATGGACCCACGCAGACTGACCAGGAAATGCCCACAGGTCCTGCCCTGGGCAGTTTTCATCTTGTCTTTTCTTTCTGGCTGGCTGGTGTTCTCTCCCTGTGTCCCTCTGTCCCTCTGCCTGCCTGTGTCTGTCTGTCTCTCTCTCTCTCTTTCTCTCTCTCTCTCTCTTTGTCTCTCGTTCCTGGCATAAACACATGATATAACACTGAACTACAGCCCAGCTCCAGGCCAGGCTTTCCTTATGCACAGTGCAATGTCTTTGCTGAGTTTAGGCCGAAGTTAGAGTGAGCAAAATACTCACTTAAATATGAATTTATTTTCTGAGTCAGGATCTGAGTTTCAGCCAAAGTAAAGGTTAGTAAGACATCCACTTAAGTTGAATATTTTTTCTTTTTGAGACAAGGTCTCTGTAGCCCGGGCTGACTTGGGACTTGCTGTATAGTTCAGGGTGCCCTCAGACTCCCTAATTTCTTACCTCAGTTTCTTAAGTGCCAGGAGTGTAGTCATAAGCCACCATACCTAGTTTGAAGCACTTTTTTGAAAAATAATTTTAATTTTTTAAGTAATGTTTTAAAACTTATATGTGTGGTGGCGTGGTGGCCCGCATCTGTGATTTCAGCACTCAGGAGGCAGAGGCAGGAGAATTGCTGCAAGCTCGAGGCCAGCTTGGGCTACATAGTGGATTCAAGGGAAGCTTGAACTACATAGCAAGATCCTATCTCAAAAAAAAAAAAAAAAAAGAAAAAGAAAAAGAAAACTTGTATGTATCTGTGTACATATGTATGTTTGTATTTTTGTACTAGGTATTGAACCCGAGGCCTTCACTCTGAACTACATACCCCAACCCGTTTGTTTGTTGTTTGTTTTTATTTTTAGTTAAGACCTTGCCAAGTCACTATATTGCTCAGGCTAACCTTGCAATCCTCCTGCTTCAGCTGCACGGAGTGCTGGGATTACAGATCTATGCTACCACACCAGGCAAAAAGATTTTAAGTATGTATACATCATGCAGTATTTGAATGTACACTAAAAAGCTGATTTGTTTACCTGAAATTCCAGTTGTACTGGGAGTCCTATATTTTTATTTGGTAAATCGGGCAGCCCTCCCGAGCCTCCGAGGAAGCTGTGTCGTGGCATCAGCCAGATCTGAGCTGGTAGCCCTTGGAGCTGTGCAGGGCTCTGTCCGGACACTGGTGTTCTTGAGCAAGAGCCTGTGGTCTTGAGCAGGAGCATGAAGGGCCCTGGAAACCTCTCTAGCTGCTGAGAAAGAAATGGGATTCCTAAGATAAAGAGCTAGGACTAAGACTTCTTTCTATCCCCCCACAGCCCTTGCTAATTTGGTTATTCAGAGCTGATAACCCCTTGGCTGAATTTCAAAGGGCTGCATAGGAAGCCGTGAGTACTGAGTCTTTCCTGAGAATCTACTG